ACCACCTTGGGGAGGCACCTAAGGAGGCAAAGGTTGAGAGGGGGCTTTTCACTACGTGAGGAGGGGTTGTTTAAAAGTTCATGGAAAGCACAGAAAGAGAAATACCATATGTTCTCACTTATTGGTGGGAGCTAAAAATAAATAAATAAATTCACACACACACACAAAAAAACCGGGGGGTGAGAAGACTTAACAACTACAATTCCTTGAAGTTGACGCGACAAGCAAACAGAAAGGACATTGTTGGGAGGGAGGGGGGAGATGGAGGTGGGAGGGAGGTTTCGGTGATGGGACACAATAATCAACCACATTGTATATCGACAAAATAAAATTACGGGAAAAAAAAAAAGTTCATGGAAAGATTCGTGTTATCTTTTAATTCTATTTTTCCACAGACTTTTTGAAAGACCCTTATATACCTCTTTATATGTTTTGAAATGTGAACTATCGGAATGTATTATTTACTCAGATGTGAAATTATAATTTTAGAAAATAACACCTTTCCTGCTGTGTGTATCTTGCTTGCATACTGTCTAGAGTGTGGGCTCCTCCAGGGCTGGCCCTGGTCTCAAGCATCCATGACTGTCAGGAGACACTCAGGAAATATGGGGGTGGGGGTGCCATTTCCCAAGTCAGCAAGACAGAGAGGCAGGCAGGGCAGAGCAAGGAGAGCAGGGAGGAGGGGGCGAGGCTGGGTCTGCGCTGAGGACAGAGGCTGCTGCGGTTCCTCTACCTGGGGGGCTGGAGCCGGGGAAGCCTGGCTGTCAGGGGCCTGAGGGCTGAGGCCAGCTCCTTTGGCGACAGGGGTGGCTGGGGCTGGGTCTTGGGCGGGAGGCGGGGCGCTGACTATGACCGAGGCAGGCACGGAGAGGTGGGGCCCCTCTGCGGAGAGGGGCTGCTGGCTCCTCTCCTGCAACGGGCAGCCCGCACAATGTCAGAAGGCCACCCCTATGAAACCTCCGCCCCCCCACCCCAGATCCCCACCCCCAGTGATGCTCCCAGGCCTCCAGAGAAGGGGGTGGTGGGCAGCCGGGTGGGTGGGGCCCTAGGAGGCTGGGAGGCTGCAACGCGGGCAGCTCTTGCAATCTCAGCTCCCGTCAGCCTGTCTGCCAGCTCGATATCACCCTCCCTCTCTCCTGCCCATCTGTCCGTCCATCCATGTCTTACCCACTCCCTCTTTGAGATCCCTCTCCTTGTCGGTCAGTTTTTGTCAGTCTGTCCCTCCCCTTGTCTGTCTGTCAGCCAGCCAGCCAATCTGTCCCCCTGCAACTCAGCTGGGACCCTATCCTTCAGGCCTCTCCTAGGGGCCCCTGTGTCTGGAGCACCTGTGCAAGCACTGAGATGCTCTCCCCAGCCCACAAGACCCTCCCACAGGCTGCCTCAGCTGCATCCCATTTCAGTTCTCCCAAAACCCCTCTCCCACCTCCAGCCCCTGCTTCCCTGCCCCAGCCCAGTGCGGGTTACCTGGGGCAGGAACATCTGCAGGGAGTCCTGAGTGAGGATGGCTGTGGCTGTGGCAGAGGGTGGCTGCCCCAGGACGATCTTCTCTGGGCTGGATGCCAGGCCTGGGCTAGGCTGAGGGGTGGTGGCCTGAGGTGTGGCGGCAGCCTGAGGGGTGGGAGCTTGTGGAGGCTGCTGCGCCTGTGGCTGCTGGAGTCCCAAAGGCAGTGGCGTGCTGACCACTGGGGGTGCCTGGGGGGTGGGCTGCACCGTGAGGACAGGCGTGGCCTCACCAGGGGCAGCAGCAGGGGTGGCAGGCTGCACCAGGCCATCAGGGGTGTTGAGCATGGCTACAGCGCTGGGGGGCAGGGTGACCCCCTGGAGGACGGTAGTGGCAGCAGGGCCAGCGGGGGCCGGCTGGCTCTGTGTGGGCAGGCTGCCTGCAGCCAGAGACACAGGCATCTGGAAGAGTGCTGGCTGGCCCACCTGGATGGGGGCGGCCGAGAGGATGTGGGCGGCACTGTGGGCCCCAGAATGGGGAGCCAGCACAGGGCCCAGGCTCAGAGGGCCTGCCAGGTTCTGGTTGGTGAGGATGGGGTTTGCAATCAGCTGTCCACCTGCGTGGGGGGCTGCGGCTGCCAGGATCTGTCCTCCCACGTTGGCCGGCAGGGCTGAGAGCGGCTGAGGGAGCTGGACTGCAGGCGTGCCAGGCAGCAGGAACTGGTTCTGGCCAGGTAGCATGTGCTGTGCTGGGATGACAATGCTGCTGCCTTGATTCAAGAGCTGAACACTCATGGGCTTGCTCAGGGTCCCGGGGGGCTGTGGTGGGGCCACTCCCGTGGTGGTGGCAGGTGGCTGCTTGAAGACATTTGCCTGCAGGGCAGGTGCTGGGAAGCCCGACAGCACCACATTCTGGCCTGCCTTGCCTGCAGCCATGAAAGTCAGGTTCTGAGGGGCCTTGGGCTGCTGTGGGAGGCCCCCTGGTTCGCCCTGGATGGTGAGTGTGGCGCCTGTGGGGGCGAATGGTTTGGGTGTCAGCTGGTAGAGCTTGGGGGGCAGCACGCCAGCGGGCTTGGGCTGGATGGGTGTGGGTGTGCGGTGCAGGATCACATTGGGCGCTGGAACCAGCGGTGATGTGCCGAGGCCTGGGGCCACTGCCAGCGGCTGTCCTGAGGGCGCCCCACTGGCCACTGCTGTGGCAGCCCCTGCCCCTCCAAACACAGAGTTCCCATTGAGTGTGGTGGCCACAGCGGCTGGGAGGTTCTTCTGGATGACAAGGCCGGCCCCCTGGGGGGAGACACCAGCTGATGCCAGGGTCACTGGTTCTGAGGGACCGGCTGCAGAGGCTAGGTAGCCGCTGACAGGCACCTGCTTGGCCAGGAGCTGGGAAGTGGGTGGGTTGAGTGCCATGACGGGCTGGCCCACCACCTGGATAGGTGCCAGCCCAAGGGTAGCCGCTGTGGCACCCCCTGGGCTGCCATTGGGCAAGCCCTGGAGGCCCGGGATGGGCTGCAGGGTCACATTGCCCAGGCCCACGGGCTGCAGGAAGGGCTGGACACTCAGTGCCTTGTTGACCATGTCCTGGGGTGGCACCAGGGCCTGGTGGGTCAGCACAGTGGGCGGGGCCTGTAGCCCCAGCAGGTCAGTGCCACCTGGGAAGAGGGCCTGGGGCCCTGTGGCCACAGCCGCCCCTGCAGCTCCTGCTGGGCCTGCCCCGCCATCTGCCGGCTGCAGTGTGGGCAGCTGGAAGGGGCCCAGGTCCAGCTCAGCCTCAGCCTCGAGGGTCTGCTCAGTGATGTTGGCTTCCTGGAGGCTCTGCTGAAGGATGTCACAGGGCTGGTCAGTGCCCCCGCCACCCCCGCCACCGCCCCCCGTTGCAGGTGAGCCCAGAATGTCATCTTCCAGGAAGTCTAGGTCCACGCTGGGGGTTGGTTGGCTGGGCTCCGGGTTCAGGTGGTTGCCGGAAGCTTCTTGCACGTGGAGCTAGAGGCCGGGAAAGGTGGGAAAGAAAGAGCCGGGGTTAGCAAGGGCCAGGTCCTGGCCATGGCTGCAGCAAAAGATGCTCAGGTGTCAAGGCAGCAACGTTCAAGAAAGAACACTCTGTCTGAAAGTGGCTGGACCTGGGAGTATATCCCAGCTTTATCAGGATTTAGCTGTGCAATCTGGGGCTTGCTTAATCTGACCTCAGTTTCCCCATTTGTACCCATCAGCAGAACATAATAAAAACAGTGTTTTAAGTAGTTGCACAGGCCCACAATACTTATCTGTGATTCCCAAACCTAAAAAGCTCTGAAAACCAAGAGTGGTTTCATGACTCTTGGCAGCAAACCTGACCAGAACAGATAGGGTGCTTTTGGTGACACATTTACCCAAATAATGTGACTTCAAAAGTTTGGCTGCAGAAAGGCGAACGTGTGATGTTATCCATGGCCCACATACCACATCACCCTTCCAAATCTGAAAAGTTCTGAATTCTGAAACATGCCTGGCCCCAAAGGTTTCCAATAAAAGGCTGTAAAGCTCGCAGGAGCAGCAGCAGCAGCCACCGTGTATGAGCCTGTGCGCCAACTGCACTGTGAGTCCAACGTTTCTTAAGTACTTTTCGTGCTGTCCTGGACCGCGATCCAGGACACTCCTGTATGAATATATGTATGCACATCTGGGCAAAGCCCCACAAGCAACACTATGCCCGTCATCTGTAACCTCCACCGATACCTCACCAGATAATACATCAGAACCTGCAGTTTGAAAGACTCTTGAGTTAATCCACATAGAGGGCCTTCACCGTTGGGGTGGAGACTGAGGTCTGCAGGAGGAGACCTCTCCCCGCAGGTCACAAACACACCCATGGCTGAGCCAGGGCAGGACCCCGAGCCTCCCCAACACCTCACTCTCCAGAGGAGTGTCTCCCCGTGAACCCCAGAGCAGCATCTGTCTCAATTCCCCAGAACCACTCCGTACCAAGGCCTTGAGGACCCTCAGCGCCTCCTCCAAGGGGTCCACAGGTCATGGCCAGCGTTACCCCACGCTGAACTCCTACCCTCCTCCTATCAAGGCCCCTCAGAGAGATGAGCCCAAGCCTCCCCTCCTGCCCTTGGGGCTTCCCTCCTGCTGGCTGCCGTCCTAGCAATTTGATAGATGACTGGGAGCCACAGCTACTTACCCCAGGACCCTCATAGAAGGCACTTTGGGCCTCCCCAGGATTATCCAGGAGGTCATCACTGTCGAGCTGCAACAAGACCCGCCCCCACCCAAAGTCAAAGGTCAGTGGTGGCAGGCCCATATGCTACAGTTGGAACCAATGTAGGGTTACTCAGGACAAAAAGATGAGGAGTGAGGTCAGGGGGTTGGCAAGAGGTACAGGACACTCCAGAAAAAAGGCCCCAAAGAAAAGGGCCTGGCTGCACGCTTAAAGCCCACGGCGCCCCACACTGAGGCCCCGAGCCTGTCCTCTGAAGCTCTCCTGACATGCTGCCTTGAACTGGAGACTCCTGCCTCTATGCCTTTGTCCAAGCTGTGCCCCCTACCTTTTGCCCCTTGGTTTCTCTGTCACACATGCCACCTCCTCCCAACAACTGCCCATCCTTCTTTCTAAGTCACTCTCTTCTCTGAGAAGCCCAGGAACGTCCCACCATCTGGACACCTAACACACTATGCTGTGCCCATCTCTGGGAGAGCAGGGACCTGCTCTGATTGCCAGGGGCATCTTTAGCACCCAGAACAGGCCCTGGCATCCACATAAGTACCTGGTGAATGTTTGTCCACAGCTGAGGCCTCCCTAATTTCTCTCTCCAGGTAGACGTTTCTGCAGAACTCAAACTTGTATGTCCAACAGCCCCACCTGGACTTCTGGAATCTACCCCAAACTCCCAGTCTCAGAAAACGGTACTGCAATCTACTCAGCTGCTCAAGCAAAACCCAGGGGTCTTTCCAGACAGTCTTTCTCCCTTGACACCTAATCTACCTGCAGGTCTAGCTGATTCTACCTCCCAAACAGATCCCAAATCCAGTGCCTGGCACCTCTTGCACTGCCTGCACTGTGGCCCAGGTCACCACCTTCCTATCACACTCACCTCCTCTCCACAAATTATTTGATACTTCTCCTTTCAAGAGGTGGAGCTCAATTCCCCTCCCTGAGTGTGAGTTGGACTTAGTGACTTGCTTCTAGTGAATACAATGTGACGGGAATGAGAGTGTGTGCCTTTGGAGACTAGGACATTAAAGGCATGATAGCTTCCTCCTTGCTGTCTCTCAGATCACTCGCTCTGGGGGAAGACAGCTGCCGTGTTGTAGGGACACTCAGGAGCAATATGGAGAGGCCTATGTGGTGAGATATTGAGGTCTCCTGCCATCAGCCACAGGAATGAGCCCTGAGGCAGCACATCCACCAGCCCTGGACAAGCCTTCAGGTGACAGCAGCCCCAGTCAACACCCTGACTGCAACCTCATGAGAGTCCCTGCTCTCAGATTCCTGACCATCCAAACCTACAAGAGCTCTAACAAATGTTTTAAGTCGTGATATGATGGGAACATTTGTTACACAGCCATAGATAACTAATACGGCTTCTCATGGCTCCACAGGCTTCCACTCTTCCCCACTGGGTTCCATTCTCTGGGGTGCACATAGAACACAGCATTCTTCTTTTTAGTATCCCACCAGAGCTGCCTGTCACATTCAGAATAAAAACCAAACTCCCCTATCAGAGTCCTCTAGGACTGCATGACCTGGTGACGTTTGTCTACTCCAGTCTTGCCTCCTACTGGCTTCCCCTTTAGTTCAGCCCCACCGGCCTTCTTTCTTTTCCTCAAACGTGCCAAGCACTTTCTCACCTTTGTACCTGCTCTTCCCCCTCCCAGAAGCACCACAGTCACCACCCTTTGATCCTTCAGATCTCACCTTCAATGTCATCTCCTTAGAGTGACCCTATCTACTACTCTAGCTAAAGAAGCCCCCAAACCCCATCCGTTTTCTTTTAAACCACTTTTGTTGTGCAAGTGACATTATTTTTTATCATACTCTGCATAGTGCTTTCCACCATCACCTTCACTAAGTTATTGGTTTCTGTGTTTACTAAGATGTATATGGTGTGAGAGAAGGGATTTGACGTCTGTTTTGCTCATATGAGGCAGCTCATAGAAGGCACACGCCAGATGTTTACTGAACCCAGGGGACATGTCTCTCACTGTCTCTCGTTCCCAATTCTACAGTCCCCTAGCCAGGGAATGCCTCTCCCTGCCCTCGGACTTACCTTCTCAGATCCATGCAAGAAGTCATTGAGGGCCTGAGGGTCACTGAAAGAGAGAAGAGGGACAGATACTGAGGAGGTGAGGAGCTGGGGGGGGGAGGGGAAGGGGGGAGGGGATGTTCAAGACAGAGGGCAGGGGGTGGGCAGCCCGTTACTCACCAAATTACGTCTAGTAAGCACCTCCCATCCTCATCATCCATCGCCACTGGATGGGGTGGGGTCAGGAAGAGGGCAAGGAGACAAGGTTAGATTTTGGCAGCTTGCCCGGCCCCCTCCCTTCAGGGGAGCCCCCTGCAAGGGTCAGAGTTTCTGTTCTCTTCAGTCCACCTCCCAGGTCTCCTCCTAGCCAGAAACTCCTAACCAGAGACAGCTTCCTTTCCCTCCCTCCACTCCCCTCCCCCAAACTCTCCCAGCACCTGATGATGACAATGACGATGATGATATCAACCAAGACTAAGTGAGCCCTGCAGGTCCTACACTAAGTGCTTCATACACATTCAGCTAAGTGACTATCACAGTGTCCCATGACGGGGACCTTCCACGCATATTCCAGCTGAGGAACTGGAGGCACTGAGGCCACCACTCCCTGCCTCCCACTGAGCAAGTGGCAGAGCCACGCCTTGAACCCAAGAATCCAGCTCCTAAGCCTGTGCTCTTCACCACCATGCTTTCCTGCCCCCTTGAACACAGGGCCTGGCCCAGAATGTGCGTGGCAGGGGTTCATCCTATGTATGAACGGGTGGAAGAGTGAATGAGAGAGTGAATGGAGGCGACAGGAAGGGCCTTGTGGCCCAAGGTTCTGCGTCCCCCTTGAAGACGTATACAGTGTGGTTCTCAGGAAGGGAAGGGTGACAGGAGAACCAAAGCAGAAGAAAGGGAGAGGGACTCGTAACCACAGGCACCCCACTACGCACGAGGAGCCACTGGGGTGAGGCTGACCCTCGCTGTCAGAGCGCTGAGGAGAGCATGGCGAGTGTCTGTCCGGCACTTCACCAGCGTTAGCTTGGTCAGCCCCCGTGGGGAAGGGTGTTAGTCCCATCTAACACACGGGGGGACCGGTGCTCTCTGATTTGCCTCTCCGCCCCCACCCATCTAGCTTTCCATCCCTCCAGACATCCACCCCTCCCCTCATCCCCTAACCATCAATCTACCCACCCATCCACCTATCCCTCCAAACACCTATCCCTCCGCCTTTCGAGCTTCCATCCAATCACTCGTCTTTCCCTTCTTCCTAACAACCAAACCAACCCGTCCTTCCACCGACTCACCCTTCCATGGCCCCACACCCCCTTCTGCCGTCCTTCCTTTCCAATAACACAGACAGTATGTGAGAAGAAAGAAGACACAATCCCTGAATGATGCAAATTTACACCTCAGGATCATAGAGATCTGACCCTCCCTTTTGGTGGGTGGGGGGCATGGGGCGTGAGGATGTGGTGACTGTCACGGATTACCCCTTCCTACTCCCAAACAACCCCCCAACACACAAAATCTTACATGCGCCCTCAGCTGGTTCATAACCCCTCACCCCAGCAGCATTCTCTGAATTCCCCAAACAGTGACTTCCTAATTGGCACCTCCAACTTCCCCTATCCTCAAGTGCTCTGTGACATAATGAAGAATCTCAGACAGGGACCTCCCTGGTAGGTTGGGGGTCTTCTCTGAACAGTGCCTTGGGGAACCTGATGACAACTAAAGATCCTCTTGCCAGAAACATGCATGTGGGCAAAGAATGTTCCACATACTTTCCCAGGATTCACAGATTCCCTCCACACCATGCAGCACAGACAGAAATACATGCATCCTCTGAGACTCACACACCAATTACCATCCCTATCAGAGCTGGCCCTGGGGACTGTCCCCAGAGAGGCCCCTCCTCGGCTCTTGATGCATTTGGAGGTGGTGAGGACACGCTCTCTGCTCCCCCAATCCTGGCCCACCTATGCTTCCTTCTTCTCTCTGTGTTGCCAGGTCTGTGGCCTATGTACCCCTGCCCTCCCCAACCAGCTCATGAGGGCTCATGAAAAGGCAAGGTCTGCAAAGAATCTGGAGAAAAAGAGAAAGTGGGGAGGAAGATCCTGCCTGCAGCTGGCATGGAGGCAGATGGCCCAGATGACCCAGTGGGCCCAGCCTGGATAGGTAAGAACTGAAGGATGTGGCTAAGCCAGCTCTGCCAAGATGGAACATTCCATTCTCTTCCAGGGGCCAAGTGGGCCTGGGTAAGTGGAATGAGGGACAACTGCCCCTCTGGGAGTAAACTGGGATTCTTCCCTGGTTACCTGTGCTACAAACGAATCATGAAGGGAAGGAGGGGATGTCCACTCCAGGTCTATGCAGGGGCCCCAGCTGGGGACTTGGAGAGTGTCCTTTCGGGGGCCAGCTGTGGAGACAGAAAGAGAGAGAGGCTGTGAGTAAGAAAGCTAGTAAACAAGATGCAGTCAGAGACAGACAGACAAGCAGAGATATGGGGTGAGTTTGTGGGAGAGAGAGGGAAGGACTAAGGGGAGGGGGAGGACAGAAGAGCAAGAGAGACGGTCAACAGGTGATGTCAAAAGGAACTGAGAAATCGGGCCGGCCCCGTGGCTCATTCGGGAGAGTGCGGCACTCATGGCGCCGAGGCCGCGGGTTCGGATCCTATACAGGGATGGCCGGTGCGCTCACTGGCTGAGCGTGGTGCAGACCACACCATGCCGAGGGTTGCGATCCCCTTACCGTTCAGAAAAAAAAAAAAAGAAAGTGAGAAAGGAGAGGACAAATACCATTTTTAAATCACACAAAACAACACTATACATTATCATATGTACTACGTATATAGTGTGTGTGCACCACACTATAGCATGACATTATACTGTATTATTTATTGACACTTCAATCTAATAAAATACAGCCAATTCTTGCTGTTTGCAGTAGTCAGGTTCCATAGCCACTGTGAACACTCAGTCAGCAAATACTGAACCACTGCTCCTGGGGGAAATACTGGGTTAGGTTCCTGTACGCCTCTGGCCACATTCTCTTCGATCAATACTTAACTCCGGTTTATGTGTGTTTCTGTGAAAGGCACCTTACTTAATATATAGTGTTGACTCATTCACATTGAACTCACAGCCAACAGCACTATAACTCACACCTGAACGCAGCTGATCCAATGCACGCAGGTGCTGAGCCTCCTTGCACTCAGGACCACTAGACGGCATTTCAGCACTATGCTTGGGGGACATTTTGAACAGCAAAATCACCAATAAAAACTACAAAGATGTGAAAACAGAGCACTAAATAGACTGTGAGAAGGACACTAGTTCACAACATGAGCTGAAATGAGAAGGCAGAGTGTCGCCTTGTTTAACCTCCACTGGGGCCGTGTGGATTGGGTGACTCAAATTTCTGTAAATGACTGGGAAGGTGCCATTTTGGAGTTTCAAGTATTAACAAGTAGGCAGGCAAACTCACAAATAAGGAATCTGTGAATAACAAGGAGTGACTGTAATAATGGTGACAAATCACGCTGATTGCGGGCCCAGGCAGTGGTTTAAGTATTCTATGTGTATTAACTTACTTCATGTTCTCTAAATCCCCATGAGGCAGGTGCTTTTACTATCTCTACTCACAGATTGGGAAACTGAGGCTCAGAGAGGTTAGTAATGTGTCCAAGACCCCATGCCCAGTAAGTGGCCAGGCTGGGATTTGAGCCAAGGCAGGCTCACTCCAGGGTCCCCCCTACTTACCAAGACCCCACAGATGACCCTCTCCATCATGCTATTTCTCTTTTAAGATCTAAAGCAAATATGGCAAAAATGTTACGATAACATCACAAGGCCGGCTGACAGGGGTGTGCATGTCTCTGTTCTCATTTTAAGAATGCTTGGGGTATTTCAGATTTGAAAAAGCGATGGAGAGTGGTATGGAAGAGAGAGGAAGAGGAGGGGCACTGAGCGGCTTCCCCTCTTCCTCTCAGGTCCCGGATCCCGGAAAGATGCCTGGAACACGGGATCCTTTCCGTCTGGAACCAGGTGCGCTGCTCCTGGCCTGGAGGGGTTCATAAACCGTCAAGGTGGCTTCCCATTCGTTCTTCTTTCCTCCCTGGCTCTAGTTTTAGACATGTCCAGATCACTGCAAACTTCATACCAGCAGAATTAGAGACAGGAGGTGGGCATTTCCTGAATGGGGCTTCTCCAAACGGGGTCCAAGGGTAAATTTCAAGAGGAAGGCTCCAGAATTCTCTGTGAGAATTTTTCATTCCAGTGTTTTCATTCCAATGTAATGTTACAGAGATGAATGTGGAACTTCCTGGGGAAAGGGCAATGTTCTGCACTGTGATTGGGATGTGGATTACGTAAGTGTTCAAAATTTAATAGCTCAGATTTGTACATTTCGATGCAAGTAAATTTTACTTCAGAAAACTGTAAAAAATAAATAATAATCATGTAGTGGTAGTGAGTGGAAGTGGAGGTGAAACAAGACTGGCAGGATGCTGCTAGCTGTTAAACCGGGCAATGTGTGCCTGCGGGCTTCGGTATACTATTCCACCTACTTGGTATATTTTGGAAAGTTTCCATAATAAAGAAAAATATATGCCAATAACAGGCAGGTCTGGGGCTCCTCTGAGATGTTCCCCTCTCCAGTTCAGATGCCTGTGCATCTATGTCTACCATCTGGTTGACACCAAGAGGTACAAGCGTGGGGAGAAGCACAGGTTCTGGTGTCAGAGTCCAGGCCTCAAATCCCCACTCCCCCATGAACAGGCTGGGTGACCTTGGGCAAGTGACATTGTCTCTCCAGCCTCAGTGTCCTCACCTGCAAAGAGGGTATAACCACTGTCCCCACCTCTCGCATACCAGTGGAACAGCATGAAGCACAGGGTCTGACCTGTGTTAGTGCACAGCAGATGCTGTGATGGATGTTACTGGTACAGATGCTACTTGTGAGGATTATTAAATGTTTCCAGCTAATGAGAAAAAGTTAAAGGTGCAGAGGCTCACAGCTTCCACCCTCGCACCTCCTCCCACCTTGTCTCCACACAGTCTCACACTGATTCTTTGGATCTGCCCTGGACCAAGAAATCAGAAGAAGCCATGGTTGCAGCTTTTTTAACAACCCCCTACCGCAATTCAAGGGCAGCTGACATTTCCGAAGTGCCCACACTGCCTGCCAGCGCTCACAGTGGGAATCAAGTCACCTCAACCATTTCTGCAGCTGGGTGTCCTTCGTTACCATCCCAGGGCTGCCACTTCCCAGCGGTGCGCCTGTCTGTGCCTCAATTTCCCCATCTGGAAAATGTGGATGAGAACAGTATGTTCTCCATAGGATTGTTACATATTAACATCTTTTAACCTTACATGTCTTAAAGTATTTTGTAAGCAATATATATACTAGTCGTAATCATTTTAACTGCCATGGTTAATATTATCCAGTGTGGTAACTCGGAAGCTTTCTGGCCACAGCCCACTGAGGTTGAATAGAAGTCCACAGGCCCCAGCTTTTCCACCCACTGCCATTTGCTGCGTGTGGCCCTTGAGTACATTTGGAAGGATTTATGGATCACCTGTTTTAGCCAAGGGTTATGGACACAGTCCTATTGAAACCACTAGTCACCGAGTCTCCTTGAATCCTTCCAAACATCCTGGTATTAACCCCATTTTCTAGATGAGACAAAAGAAGCTGAAAAGGGTGGTTACTGGGAAACTATGAAGTGCACACTGCTTGCCCACCCACTTCCAGCTAGCCAAGTGTCCCTGCAGCTCTCAACCCAGCAGGCAGAGGGAGCCTTGAAAGATGCAAATGAACCCACCAACTGTTGAAAGACAGAGTTTGAATGCTGCCTGGATATCTGATAATACGAAGGAATCATGATCAAGATTACAGGTGTATTAACGGCATCATTTCTTTTCTTTAAACAGTTCTTACCTTTAAGAGCTACATCCTGAAATATTTAGGGATGAAATTATAGAATGCCTGCAATTTACTGTACAATAATCCACTTGTGGTACTTAGGGGGCCACATAGACTTGCGCTGTCCAATGTGGTTGCCACTAGTCAGTCAGCATCCTGAAATATTTAGGGATGAAATTATAGAATGCCTGCAATTTACTGTACAATAATCCAGTTGTGGTACTTAGGGGGCCACATAGACTTGCGCTGTCCAATGTGGTTGCCACTAGTCAGTCACATGTGGCTATGTACGTTTAAGTTCAAGTTAATTAAAATTAAATGAAATTAGAACAAAGCACTTGAATAGACATCTCTCCAAAGAAGACATACAAATGGCCAATAAGCACATGAAAAGATGCTGAACATCACTGACCATTAACCAAAATGCAATCAAAACTACGATGAGATACCACCTCACATCCATCAGGATGGCTACTATAAGGAAAAAAAAAGAAAGAAGTGTTGGTGAGGATGTGGAGAAAATGCAACACTTGGACACTGTTGGGAATGTAAAACGACGCAGCCACTGTTGAAAATAGTTTAGCGGTTCCTCAAAAAATTACAAATAGAATTACCACGTGATCCAGCAATTCTACTTCCAGGTATATGCCCTAGAGAATTTAAAGCAGGGTCTCAAAGAGATATTTGTACACCCATGTTCACAGCAGCATCATTCACAATAGCTACAAGGTGGAAGCAACCCAAGTGTCCATCAGTAGATGAATGGACAAACAAAATGTGATATATACACACAGTGGAATATTAAAGAAATTCTGATATACACCACAACATGGATGAAACTTGAAGACATTATGCTAAGTAAATAAAATAAGCCAGTCACAGTAAGACAAATATCACATCTGATCCCACTTACATGAAGTACCTAGAGTCACCAAATTCAAGTGCTCCCTGGCCACATGTGGCTGGTAGCTAATGTATGGCATGGCATAGATCTGGAACATTTTCATTGTGGCAGGAAGTTCTATTGGGCAGCACTGGTCTGTAAGAGCAGTGGAAAACTTTACACTGTGCGAGTTAGTCGTGGTGGGGTGCAGATATGTGTTTTACTATTCTATTTTGTGTACATTTGTCATTTTCCATAATGAAAAATTTTTAATTAAAAATATTTTAATATCAAATATCATGTTTGTCTAATGGTTTGTTTACTATCTGTCTCTCCCACCAAAATGTCGGCTTCACCAGGGCAGAGACCTTTGCCTGTTTTGTGCCCTGTGAATCCTCAGAGCCTGCAGAGTTTGCGGCACACAGTAGGAGCTCAATAAATATTTGTGGAATGAACAAATGGATATGCAGAGGAAGTTAAACAAATCCATTCATTCATTCAAGGGGCAGCCTGGTGAAAAGGGCACTTATTAGGTACCTCTT